CTGTGACTAAGCTGACAGTTGAGTATCCAGTATCGTCATGGCAGTACTTCACACCTAGGTCAGAGTGACATGACAACTGGATAGTAAGGACAACTTGCCTGAACCCTTGCTAAGCATCATACGCATGCGTGCGCAGTCGGATTATATTTACTGATTATCTTATTTCATTCTTCTTTCAATCTCTTACTTTGCCGCTGAGCAACTGTTTTCAACTAAGGCTTTCTGTAGTTTGAGAAAAAGTTGGGGGATGTGGTGGAGGGGGTTTGTGTGTCGGGGGGCAGTTCTGTTTAGGGGGGGGGGGTCTTGGGTCTAAAGACTTTCTTTTTTGTTAGCTTTTGGGGAAAATAGGTGCCAAAGGTATGGGGATCCAGTTCAATGTCGATCGTTACCCTGAACTTTCTAAGGCTGTCATGCGCAGGATCGATGTGATGAGTGAACATTGTCATGTGTTTTGAGGATGGGAGAGGCTATGATGGCAAGACAGTGGAATCAACATGTATGAGAGTCGGAGTCGATGTCGTAGGGCATGTGCAAAGCTGTGATCGCCACCAGCTCCGCTTGAAGGATCGTGCAGTGGTCAGGGAGTCGCCAGCCTTGTGTGTGGACGCAATTGTGGGTACAGTCCATGCTGCTGTCTCTCTTCCGTCAGGATCGACAGAACCTATCTGTGAATACACTGCACATGTCCTCCCATCTGCCAGTGCCATGCTTTCTCAGCATGAATGCTGAGGGTGTCTTGACTGGCAGAGACGCTTAGAGATGGGTAACTGCATGATGCAAACATTGGCTGGATCTGAGGCGCCAGGGAGGTTGTGGTGAATGGGATAGCGGCCTAACTGAGTGAGGGCGAAACCTAGCAGACGAAGGGATGCCTAACGTGATTCGACCAATAGCGAGTCTATCCTTATCCTACCGAGCGAGTAGTTGTAATAAAGAAGCAAAGCATTCACACGTGCTCCAGTATTCGCGCAGAGTGGCCTCCATTAAGAGAGTCACCATTTGGCGTAAGCAATCGCTCGTCTTCTTATCAGGATATAGTCATCTTGTTAATTCAAAAAGTGGAGCGAAACTTGTCACAAGGTGGAACGAGTGTGCGGTTATCATTGTCGTAGGCATGGTTGTTAATATACGATCATGGGCAGCGTTCAGCAGTGGGAGATCGTAATGTGGAAACGATGCCTTGTCTGCCGGACATGAGTGACTAGAGGATGCGTAGTCCGCTATTGTAAGCATGATGCGATGTTATGGTCTCAGATCCCTGCAAAAGTCCGTCGAGCACGGGACCGAAATTGAGGGGACGAGGGAAACCATTGAGATTGTGGGCGGGGGGGAGAGGGAACAATAATCTGTTGAGCATGCATGTAGGAGGGGTGGGGAGCGTAAAGGGAGATCGAGTGTGGGAGAGTGGGAAGAAGCGCGGGTGTCCTTAGCAGCGAGTGCTGCAGCATTCTGTGAGAGTATGGGCTTGGATGGGGACCCCCCAAGCATAGTTCTATCGCCTGATTTTGATACGACCTCCCCCTTTGCCTCTCTGCGGAAAAGAGATGACTAACGCCGGTGCACGTAAGTCAATGAGCGAGCGTAATAGCTTGTATATTAGTAACAAGCGAAGTACATCTTTGCTTGCCCCTGCACGGTTGCCTCGTCATGGCTCTCATGGCGTTGAGTCTGAGTGGAACGTGACCTGAACATACTCGGCCTGTTTCTGAAAGGTCAGCTTTTATCAATGTAGATTTCCCAAGTACAGGTAGGAGCCTGTCCCACTCAAGTTCTATATCCTAATACGTAATCTATTCACAAGATCTGTGTCCCATGAACATCATTGCAAGAGATTTCTCGGCCGAGATCTTGAGGCCTCTCTTGCAAGACATGCGAAATAGTCCAAAGCACTCTGAGCCTGTCCGTTGCTAAATTGCCTTTCCATTACTATCGAGTGCAAATCATCAGCATACTGAGGAGCTGTGTATCATCTATGAAAGGGAAGGCTCACAAGTTCCTGCATAAGATGTTTAAACAGGTAGGACTGAGCACACTCCTTGTGACGTACCATTTCCAGGGTTTTTAAAGGAAGAGTAGTGTCCCCCTGAAAGCTGACACCAGGCCTACCTGCCCTAAGTAGGACTCTATCCAGGCCGGAGGCTCCTTTGATTCCCTTCCGAGCTAGTATTGCCCCAGAATGCTGTGGGGAAGGCTAGCTCAAAATGCCTTCTCAAGGTCGAGTAAGACGACGATACTAGTTTTTGGTTACATATCAGCAATCTTGCTTAGTAGAGTGGTTTTGCACTCTGCTGTACCCACGCCTTTGGTGAAGCAATATGTGGATTATGAGAGGGTCCAAGTTTCATAGGAGTGCGTTTAACACCATCCTCACAGCATCCTTGGCTAGCAGCTGGTCCAGCGATATGAGTCACATAATGCCCTGGGTCCCTTCGGGCTTTGGAATTAGTACATGGTAGCTTTCTCCAAGCTGCTGGGAGGGTCCTGGCCCTCCCACGACTGTTAATTACGTCTAGTATGGCCTCCCATCACACTCTGCCAGCCCGTGGCAATCATGAAGCACTTACACCATCGATGCCGGGGCAGTGTCACCGAGCTCTTAATGGCACGTCGAGTTCCAAGTCCGGAGGTCTTCATCAGCCACATCTTCCAGACTCATATGCACTTGTATCGTTAGCTTGCGCTGTGGCAGAAGATCCCTCTGTATATTCCGAAGTCCCTGTGGGACTGAGTGGAGGCACCCCTGAAGTGAAAAGCTCCACTAGTTTCCTCTGCTTCCTGAAAGGTCGGGTTGCTGGGGCCTCGAGGCTTGCCTCTTGCCAATTGCTAATGTGAGCTTCCCCATATCTCAGATAAGGTGGTGTGATGCCCGAATGTTTAGCACCACTCCAGCCATTTCTCAGTTTTTACTCTGAGAGAGACTTGCAGGCATGCTGCACAATGGCTCTCAGTATTCCTGTTTCTGCAGTAGGTTTACGCCTGTATAGCTTCCTAAAAGAGTTATGCGGTGGTTCTGCTCCCGCACCTCTCGTTGTACACCACCAGACCCTCTTTCGTGAGTGCGTCCTGCAACTTCTTTGGAATTGCGCACTCGCTGCCTGGATGAGAACAGTGTTAGCTCCAGTTTTCAGCCGTATCACAGTCTTCAATAGAGAGTATGTGTACGCACAAGTCATGAAGATAACTCTGGAACACCTTCCCAGTTGGCCCACTTTACGTCCCCACCTCTAGGAGGCAGCACAACTGTGGGAGACCTGTTTTGATGTTGAAGGTGGTTGATCACTGCAAGTGGTCACTGACAAGGTGAGGCTGATTTCCCAATGCACCTGCTGCGAGTTGTCTTGACCCAAAGGAATGTCGAAGGCAGCCACCCACAGGTGTGTGGTCTCCATGTTTAGCAACTTTACCTCTGAATATCGTGTAGGAGCTTGCTATGTGTCTGCTATCAGCATTGGTTGCTGAGTGAGAGTGCAGCATTGGGTGATGTGCGTTGAAATACTTCCAACCCACATAATACACTCAGTGCATGCTAGTGCGAGGAGCTCTGCTATTTCGAGGGGGTGTCTTGGGTTCTTGTAGATGTTATAGATGGTATGGTGTCGCCCCAGTATGTGCACCAAGGATGTCCGGCCTGTGCCTTCGACATCCTCCCCACAGTCCACAGGGTTGGCTATAACCTCGTGAGGATTGTATTGGATACAAATCCAGCTGTCCTCTCAGTTGAACGCCCGGGTCCATGTGCCGAAAATACCCAGCAAAACCGGTAGTCTTGGGCACATAGTCGGGACAGTCAGAGTTTCTTGTAGCACGACAATGCAACCGATCCCGAATTACTGGCCTCCAGCAAGAGTGCTGTTTTGCCCTCAGGCCTGAATGTTCCATGTAGAACCTTGATGTGTGATTTGGTACCGAGTAATTCCATCGCTGTGGTTTCCTGAGCTTGGAGACTGAGACCTGCTCATCTCTGAGGAATCCTGAAAATCATGGCATCCACAGTCTCCTCCTCTGTCAGTAAGCCACTCTCAGGAGCGTATTGACCATCTGCTGGAATGTGCTCTGTTGTTCCATGAGTTTGATTGAAGTGTTGCAAATAAGATCCGTTAACACTTGATGAGTGCTACGAATCCTCCCTGGTGAGGGCCTGCTTTGGTGTTGGTCGAAACAGTGGAATATTATCTGGCTGTTGTGGTTCTGTATGGACTGCTGAGGTTGGATTTCTTTATTGTATGCACGTGGACTGTGCTGTATACCAGTGTGGTAGCCGGGATCTGCTAGTGAGGTCCAGTTGAGTCTGCAAAGCGCCTGTGCCGGGTAAGGAGTCCTGCGTTGTCGTGCTATGGCCGGTGGCGGCTCGTTTAGTGCACCTGCTGATCGCATTGACCAGATGCACCCTGTTGACGTCTCCTGTTCCTCTTGTTTCAAGTTTTCTTCGTTGAGGTAGGGGTGCAGACGTTCTGACCTTGACCTGGTTGAGGCTTCGGAGGGTTAAGAAATTCCTGACATTGACTTGGGGTTAGCTGCTGAAGGAACAGCGGTATGTCAGCGTTCTCCTGCACCATCGTTTGCTGATAGTGATTGATCCGTCGTAGCTGTTGCCGATTTTGCGTCCTCCACAGACTCCTTGAATTCTGGCGAGCCTCTCGGGGCATCGAGATTCCAGCATGATGTTTCTGCATGCAGTTACGGCATTGTGAGTGGGTGCGATGCATTTCTCAGCTTGGTGATTGCATTCCTCGGTAGGGTGGTGCTGGCTGCCGACACCGCAGATTACTCTGATTTCTGACAGAGTGCACCCTGGGGTGGTCCATAACGCTGACCCTTGAAAACAGCGAAACTGTTCTGCTGTGAAGGTCCATGAACCTCGTACTTGCCCCAAAACCGAGGTCCAGCTGGGATGGCAGTGGTCCTACATGCTGACTGAGACCTGTCGGGTTGGTGCGTTGCCTGCCGTCTTTGCCTGAGACGTTGAGCTGACACCACACTGGTGAGCTGCTACTGCCTCGATGGGCAGCATCAGCGGTATCGCACACTACACCCTTGTGATTTTCTGCCGAGAGTCCAGTTCCTCCAGTGATGAATGGCGATCTGTCTCCATGACTCTTTTCAAGGTAAGTACATTTTCCTTGTTGAGATGGGGTGGAGCAACATGGGTTCTCCCCTCAAATTGAACCATATCTTGAACTTCAGGTTGTGTCGTGATTCCAGGTAGAACAACGACATAGTGGGTTCTGTGGTCCCCGTAAGACTCACCTTGATTTTGCCAGGTCGGTTTGAGCTGGTTTGCATGCTCCTTGGACGGACGGTGCTTCTTCTTGTTGCCCACAGTGTTCCATCCCTCTTGGATTTTCGGGGGGTAGGGTGCTTATTTCCTCCCTGTTTCCATTGTCGCTGGCTCCATGGTTGGAACTGTCAGATCTGCTACAATGTGAGCAGGATCTTCCTCTTCCTCTCGCAACTTCTTCGCTAGAATTGCGCCCCACATTTCCAAATCCGAGTCCTCCGTCGTGTTCATGGAGCATCATGTCCTCTTCTTTTCAGCAGAAGCCATGCGCCTATCTTGTGATAAGGTAGTGAACTCCGTGAACTGAGTGTGTGTGTACTGTACCTGGGGTGTATGTATAATGTTCGCCAAGACCGTAGTCCTGGTACGGGTCTCAATCTTGCGATGACCCGTCTCTGGCTCCCGATGGAGAAAGGTTTCTACAATGATGTGACGTATGCTGCTCAAGCACTCTTCTGGTCAGTTCAACTGACTACACTATACCATGTGGGGGGTGTGACAAAGTAAATGTAGGAAAGCAAACCAGATCTCTGGACATTAGGATAGCAGAACACAAAAATGCTTGCAGAAATGATGACGGCAAAAACGCATGTATTCAACATAGGGACGATGTTGGACACCTCATGAAATTCAATGAAGCTAAACTAGTGATTAAAGAAGACAACTTAAGAAGGAGAAAATGCCTTGAAGCTGCACTAATTTCTGTCAGTAACACTATAAAGCAAAAACTCGGTAGTTACAGTATTTCAAAATTACTTAGCAAGAGGATATTACCCATCCTGGGAACTGGTGTTACATGATGCCAACAGGTCCCTCTCTAGCATCACCTCCTTAGTTCCACTACTACTACTACTACTACTACTACCACCTCTACCCACGCGTCACCTCACCTGACTCCTGCCACTATATATATACGTTTTCTTAGTTTTCTCTGTATTAGGACTGAAGAAGCCACTCGTGGCGAAACGTTTCCTTTAATAAATGTCCTGAACTGTACATAAGTGTCTTTCTCCACATCTTGTCGGTATCACCATACCATTTCCTCATTACAAGGGATTATGTATACCCCTGCAGAGGATGGAAGCTTGTCCTGTCTACTACTGGTGATGTCCTTGATGGTCGTGGTTGTGGAGGTAGATGCTTGGAATGATGTATTGGAAAAGATGTTGGAAACATGTTTGGTAATGGAGTTGGTGGGGAGGACTATGTATCTCTTCTCGGCAGTGTCTTTTCTGGGTGTGTTGAAGATGTTTAATGCCCGCCGTCTGGTTCTGATGAAGTGACGGGATGTGGATTTTTAGAAAATACGTTCAATTATAGTGTTTTCCTAAGGAAACTCATTGCTGCTTCGGGCACGGGAAGAAACCCTTAATTACACCACGCTTATTTTTGGTGCGTGGTGAGGCAGAATGGAGAGTCTTTTTGGGGGTTTTTTTTTTCGATAGACTTTAAAACGAAGTTCTGGTCGTTTTGCAGAGAAAACATAAAGGGAAAAAGGAAGGTGTTGTCGATTCTTCTTAAAGTGTAAATTTGGTTAGGGCTCGACCGGGTTGGCTTGTCTTGGGAGCTTGAACTTTATGCGCTGAGGTTATGAGGAGAATTCGTCAAAAAACGGGCCAGAGAATGGTTCAGAAAACCGACATGTGAAAATTGCCCAAAATTGAAAACCGTGAGTATCTTTATTGAGGAAACTTTTCTCCCACGGGGCTTCATCAGTCCTTACGTGAAAAAAATTGAGAAACAGGGGAGAAGAGGGAACAGTCCCTCAACCTTGAGTCGATGTGTTAAAGTCCTAAATCTTGTAGAATCGGGTTTCTCCGCTCTTTTGCCGATTCTTTTAAAGATTGATGGACTGAACACACGATCAGGTTAAGGGATGTTCCCTTTTTCTCCCTGTTTTTTCAAGTTTTCCTAGTAGGACTTTGAAGCCACTGTGTGGCAAAACGTTTCCTAAATAAAGATACCCAAAGTGCAATTGTCTAATTTATACCATAAGGACCCCCAGGTGACAGTCGAAGGAAAAATGGTGGGAAAAAAACGCTCGGCTTCCAAATTTTCCCATGTATAAGTTCGCCAGACGACACTATGGGGGCCCCATGGGTAGAAAAAAAGTCTGTGAAAGAGGTTTTTTCAAAAAGAAAACTTTTAAAGCCGACCTAGTTAAAGGGGTCGATGAAATCGCGGCTGGAATGGAAGATCAAGTGAATCGTCAATTTTTCTGCAGGGGGAATCGATGGTTGTGTAGTAGGTACTTGGTGAATAGGGAAGTTACGTCAACCCCACCCGGTAGATCATCAATGCAGCATTTCCACTGCCCTCAACATTTGAACCTGGACTAAAAATACTTGTCCCTTCCCCCCCGGGGTAGATTGTTTTTGATTAAAAACCCATGGGGGCGAAACGTTGTCAATAAATGATCACATTAAACTGCAAAAGTGTTTTTTTTTCCCTTTGGTCGGTATTTTTTACCTTCATGACCCTGCCTGTATGAACTCTACAAAACCCTGGGTGCTGGAAAGTAAAAGATGCCTGTGAATCACAGCTTACTTACACTCACCCAAGTTTTTGGGTTTCTCAAGCCTCTATTTTCACCTTCAGTAAAAGGCTAAACTTTCCCCCTTTTAGGAGCAGCTTCAAAAAGTTAAAAAATGGTCCATTGCTAACCTGCCTCCTCATTTACCCCTATAAACCCATATTGTTCTCCCCCTTGATGTGACCTAGCCACTTCCAGCACTCAAGATTCAAACTTCAACTACCACAAGTTCGATGCAACGTCCCTGCATTCCTGTTCTCAATCTGCCCCCGTTGCCTTAGTGCTGGGTTAAACCCTGGCTCATTTCTTGACTAAGAACCTCCCTCCACACTATTTTTCGTCTGCCCCGTCTTCCCCGCTATCCCCTTTGGGGTCTTTCCTGAACTTTCGTTCGCTCGTTCCCTTTTGGGCATTTACAAGATTGTTTTGGGCTGAACTCGACTCCGGTTAAGGGATGATTACCTCGAAATCCCCCCTTTTCCTCTATACCTCTAGCGGGATATAAGGCTCCATCCTGTCCTTCAACTCCCATTGTTTCGATATGGAAAAATACTTTTCCCGACTGGGGACTCACCCCCTCAAAAATTCGGGTGATGGGATTTCATCGCTTTACGTTCTTCTGCTTCAACTTTTTTGTACTCGACTGAAGAAAAAACCCCGTGTGGAACGTTTCGAATAAAAAACCTAATGTTAAATTTGTTCTTACCTAACATCCTCCTCTACCTTCTGCTTTTTATTGGGCTGATGAACCCGTGTAACGAAGTTTTCCCGAAAAAAGATTCCCATATGTTGTATAAGTGTTCTTCTTCAAATTGCGGTAAAAATTATACAACTGGGACCTCTTCTAGGTAGAAATGAAAGTATGCAGGGAACGGGTACATTATCTGGGCTGGGGGGGGGGCACTGGCAACAGTTGTAGAGGGAGCTGTTAGGATTTTTAAAAAGGAATTTGTTGTCGGGAAAAACAGTGAAAAAAAATGGCAGCTCCCGGGTTTGGGGTAATGTTTAGCATGGACAGAGGCATGGTTGCAATAGAAAGCAGCGATTACATTAAGGGGTAGAAATCTGAATGGGATTTGACAATAGATGGCGTTCACAAGGATCAGTTTAGGTCCCTCAATGTTCATAATTTACATATGACCTTGATGAAGGATTACTGAGTTGAATGAGTGAAGTATTGCTGATGATACAAAGAAAGGCCGTATAATTCACTCTGAGAGGATAGCAAGAACGCCAGGAGGATTTGGACAAAATTAATGTCCTGGTCTGAAAAATGTCAGATCGAAGTTCAATGTCGATAAGTGTAAGGTAACTAGCCCTTTGGTAATGAAAATAACCTCGAAGGTTTAATCTCAGTTGAAGTAGAGCTGTCAACAGAATGTGAAAAGAACTTGGGAATCGTATGGTGAGCAGACATCTAAAGCAGACTGCAGTGCCTAGTGTGCGCAACAAGGCCAACATTACTTGGATTTATGCTCAGAAGTTTAGAACAGAACGCACATAAGATTATTTACAGCTCTGTACATCACTAGTGAGGCCTCATTTAGATTAATGTCGCCACAGTTTTGGTCCCCCTACTAAGGATGGCTAAGAACAATAGAGAACATGCAGGAGAAGAACTGACTAAAATGATTTACTGTGTAAGGTAACCTCCGTATGAAGACAGATTAAGTCTTGAACCTGCACTCTCTGAGAGGCGTAAGAATTGAGGGAGAATGTACATTATGTAGTGTAAAGTGTGATGAATGGTTTGAAAAACCGACAAGTTGAAGATTGAGACACTTATGTAACATATGGGAATCTTTATTCAGGAAACGTTTCGCCACACAGTGGCTTCATCAGTCCGATACAAAGTAGAAAGGCGTAAGGAGAGGAGGAGTTTGAAGTAATCAGTCCCTCAGCCTGGAGTCGATGTGTTCAGTGCTTGTTTTTCGTAGTCGGTTAAGGTGCGTGACGATAAGTTGTTTATCAGGGATTCGCGTCCCATTTCCTTCCATCGACTGAAGTTTGCGATTGAGTTTGATCTTCTGTTGGAGGTTAGCTGTAGTGACTGTGCTGAGAATATGCTCAGCAGTGTGTTGGTCAATCTGAAGATTGGCCCTCATATTCCTTGCAGTTTCAAAGGTTTCCTTAGCGATGTCAGAAAGTTCTTTGGCACATTCAGTTAAGTAAGCTTGGGTAGCTGGAGAGAAGGGGTGCTTGGAATTGGAGAGTTGTGCAGGAGTAGACTTAGGGATCACCTTCTCTGCCAGGCAATCTTGTAGGAAGTTGTGTCTGTTGCGATAGCTGTGAGC